GTTTTCTCCGGTGGGATATTAGCAGTGTCATTGCAAAAACAGCAATTCTAAAGCTGCTGGATGGTCGCCTGTTACATTTTTGCTTCCATTTCCGCATTTTGAAGTTGCAGTTTGCCACTTTTCGTAGAGATTGCGGCGAAACATAGATGTCGCAGTATATGAACCATAACTTCAATGAATCGCTGTCGGTACTGACGCTCGGTTAACAGGTAGACGTAGAAATTCATCGAATATCCCATATAAGCTGTTACAAGGAAAATTGGTTCCATGAGACGACGTATACTCGGATCCTGGAATAGTATCCAGTTTAGGCCGTACGGTAGCGCCTGGGTGCACAAATCGAAAAACTTTGGAGTGCGCGTGAGGAAATACAGCAGTGCACTGCTGAGCAAGATGGCATTGGTTGCGTGTTGCGATAAAGCTTTGTTAGCGGAAGCCGCCGCGGTTGCCTCGATGTTGGTTCTCTGCAAGCGGCGCATTTGACCAAATTCAGATTGTCGTTGACGAGACAGGAAGATAATCAGAGATACACTGGGAATCACGATAAGCACAAATGTCAGAATACGCGCGATTATCTGCAAATACAACAGATTATCATGAGAATCTAGTACGACACGATCGACGTGTTTTGCAAGCATCACATATAGCTTTAATGTACGAGTACGTACGTCGTCGTCGGTATATTACATCTCAACTTTAGTCACGCTCTGTAAATTATATTGAAACAAATAAAAGGAGTAAATTGCATAATTATTTTGTAAAATAATTCAAAATGATTTATTTATTCATTTTATTACGCAATTAGGTAACTCTGTGCACGATAAGGTAAACTTATTATATATGTACATACCAGCCCGAGATAGTTTATTTTGAGCCATGGAACAAACCATTCTGGATCAGAGACGATGTAGCCGTAAAATTTGTGCATGAACGGGAAGTAGTGAGTTACAAAATCGAACATGTGGCATGCCAGTGCAAAGATGACGAGAACGACTATGATTAAACGCGCCGTGGAAATGCGTTGCAGAAATCCGAAGCGGAAGGGGCTCGCAATCACCAGCAGCCGCTCCCAAGAGAAGACGACCAGGATCCTACAAAGGTAACTTTTTAATGCAAAATCTCGCAGTTTTGATTTTTCGAGAATCTGACCAATCGGATAAGCTCATTGAAGCATCCGAAAACCATGGAACAAAGAGCGTACGTGCGGGCCCGACCGCAACCTCCATTAACTGTTGATCTGATGAGAAGCTGGATAAACCTAGCCATCTGCAAAGGAAACTGAGTAAAACACTCTGTACAGATTCTGAGTATTGTGCAATTAACCCAATACGGGCTTAAATTTCTGCATAATTTGATAATGCAAAGAAAGCGATCGATATAGGAAAAACCGTTAGAAATATAAGTAGTAGAATAAATTATATGAAATTTTTTTGCTGGCTTACAATACTGCTATATCAGCAACAGCTATGGCGATCATGTAATGGCAGGCCGATGTCCTCCATGTAGGTATACTGCGTGTAAGAACCACCAGATTCAATGCATTACCCACGGTGCACAGGACCAACAAGCCGAAATACATAGCTCGACATAAACGGTAAGTGTCGCGCAATTGGCGGTTGGTATATAGACAATGGTCAACACACATCCTGGGTATATGTTCCTCTTCCCCTGCATGACTTTCATTGAGCATGCTCATAATATGATTGCTGGATACGCTAGACAATGGTGCTGACGGGGTAAACACAGCTGTAGCGTTGTCCATGGCGAAATTTGTGTGCTATTAGTACTTGATTAGCAGTGTCTAGCGAACAAGTCTCGTTGAAAGTAAGAAAACCTAAGAAAAGATAAAAGATCTAAAAAAAACATAAGAAAACTAAGAAAATTTGTGTCCCGGATGCACTCGTGGGAGACGAAACGAGCGGTGGCCGAAATGAATGCTGGCGGAAGTGTTCGCAAGTGCCCGAAGTAATCCGACGCGCTGCGTATAGAGCGAATACAGAGTAGACCCAAAGTGCTGCTGATGGGATCTTTGAGATTTGCCTAAATACTGAAAAATTAATAACCAATTATATTCTTTTGGGACTTTAAATCACGGATTACCGCACAATTACAAATGATTCTTGTTGTACACGCTTGACAGTCCATGGTCCAGATGACACGATAAATGGAAATGATGCCGCGCACTAGTACCACACTACTGCACCCACTGTCAGATGTCCTGTTTCGAAAGCAGCGGGATGAATGTTTCGATCAGAAATAATCCTTTAATATTATACCTAGGAAATGTTTGGCAGACGGGCTGCTATTCCACTTACGGCACACTGGGGGACCAAGTTAGTGGTGCGAGAGCGACCACATACACGTGCACAGCTCAGTGGGATAAGGTTTATTCCAGGTAGGATAAGACCGTTTAAGAGGCTTAAAATTCCGTGTTAATTGCGCGGAATAAATCGGCCGCAACAATATAAAAGAGGCTTCCCGTTGCAGTTATCAGTCAAATAATTATGGTGGAATATTCGATGACATCTGCCAATTATAACAACTGCTCCGAAATATTTATTGCTTGGTCAGTGCTAGAGACAATAATTATTTTTCCTGTAATGTCTCTCAAGTGCCGGCTTACAGTAATTTTGAAAACATAAAAATAAAACCCCCCAGAAGCCGTGTAGGGATCTTTTACTGCAGTATTCAAATGATTTTTTGTTTTCGGACCAGTCATCCAGCAGATCTACGTCAATAATTTAGTAGTTTCATACTCAAGTATTGTTAATATTTTCTTGGTTAATGGGGCAATCCCCACTAACAATGCATGGAAACACACAGATGCAGTGTACATGTACTTTTATAGATTCATTAAATTGAAGGCTCTCCTGATCATTTTACGCAGCGGTAACGATGACTTGTTAAAATTGGCCTTGATTTTCTTTGCCGTGCATATTTAAATATTATAACCTGTTACGCGATATTTTTGTTTCCCTCCCTCTACTTTAAACACTTGTACAAGTAAATAATAGCCTACCCTAAGATCCCAATTGTCTGCAAAGATGGAAGTGTTCCAAGTGTGCAAACCTGAATAACTTCAACAAAGTTTCCAGGGGATCGGGTAATACGTGCATGACCCTCATAGTTTTTCCATATCTTCTAAGACTCAAGTGATACAAGCGGTTTCAAGCCGAAATAATCAAATTATTTAGCCACAAAAAATCGTATATCGAACAATACAAGACGTGTTTTGGGGTGCACAAAGGTGCGAATTTTCTTGGACGTTTATAAAATTAATACCATGCACCGATCCATTTCTCTTCTCTATGGAAAAATTAATTTAGCGATGTTATAAAGATGTTGACTGCGTAAATTGCGGTGGTTGTACTGATGCTTTAACCCTCCGTTTGGAGACGTAGCACCGGGCCGCGGTGCTACTTACAGCAGCAGTGAACGAGAAACCAGCTCAACGAAACGCCGTCGACACTGTCTCTCGGTAGTAATTAAGATACACATAAAAGTTCAACGCATAGAGGTGGCAAAGTGGATGAAGGCATCGGCAACGACCTTCACGGAATCGTGGGCGTCGTAGCGAAAGCTGGTATCGTTGATGGCCACGGCGCACATTTGGAACGTGTGTGGTGCGCTCGAGATAGAGACAGGCGCTGCTATGGAGGATGGCAGTAACGCCATGCTGCGACATTCGTGGGGGGGGTTTTCTGGAAGCTTCCGCTCTGTTGGCTGCGTTAGCCACGCGCATTTTACTGATTTTGGAGCGGCGATGGGGGGCGAGAAAGGCAATTAGGGTGCAGCTGGAAATAAGAATAAAGAGGAAGGTCAGCAGCTGCACAGCAATCTGAAAAGCCGAAGATGCCGAATGTACAGCATAGAAAAGGCTCATCTTGAAAATGCCCCACAATATGCGATGGTGCTTGGTTTAGTGTGTGAACACTAACACTGTGCAATTTATAATACACATTAGATACGACAAATTATACGACAGTTATAAGCTGACGAATTCTTTGGAATATGGCCTAAATAAAATTTTTCGAAACGCTTACACAGACACAGTATATAATGGATGTAGCCACATTCACATATTCACATACTGCATGCTCTGCATTCGAAAACAGAAAGAGAATGGCGACTTGATTGTTTTGCATTATCTCTGGTTTTCAATTTTTTTTATGAATTTTTAGATGAATTACGAACAGAAGGCAGAGCTTTGCTATCTGACGACTTCACTATCCACACTGTGTGAAAAATCTATCTAATGTTGCATCAACGGCATCGAAATTCTGTCTGCCGTGCTTCTCCTTGTCTGTTCTCAGCTACGGCTTTGTAAAATTCCCAGCCAACCTTGGACATACACTGCACCTTGACTTTCTGGAACACCTGCCTTAGCTATTCCGAGAAAAATAGTGATAGTTCTTAAAAAAAATATTGAGACCGCTGTTTTTTACGCAACATTAGGTTTACTCGTGGTAATATTTTCCTTCTGGTAATCATCATGTTTTGCAATCGCTGGGATGTGGGTCGGTTTTCTGGAGAGAATTCCGGCTTTCTGGCAAGCGCTTAAGCAGTAATAATTTATGATTTATGAAGTGTCAGAACAGATCGTGATTTCGTGAAGGATTCTGGAAGCTATACAGATATATACGTGCTATAATAATTCTAGCTGATCAGCATGCGGATCAGCTCCATTTCGTCCGGCACAATCGTGCTTTTTGATATTCAGCTGACCATTATCAAGTAGCTACTCTGTAAGTGCTGAACTGAAAGCTGCGAAACAACTTATTTCCAAATACGCTGTAAATCATGTCATACGAAAACCACCTGCAGCGGAAATACCGCCCGGAATCAGCAGACTCTGGTATGCAGTTATGCATGATAATCGAGCGCTTCAGCAATAATACTGTCCACGTGCAATTAACGACCGGTTTTTTGTCTAGCATACCAGTCTAGAACAAACACCCTAACGGGTTACAGAAGTGCTATGTGAAATAACAAAACAATGACAATGCATTTACTTACAGACAACAGTTTATGTAGTGAAAAATCTATTTCAGATAAACAAAATAAAATAAGCCCAATTTCTAGAGTAGGTACAGAATTTAAATGCAGATGGACAGCGTCAACAATTTCTGCAGCAGAAATACTGGTTTTCCCATGAATATTCCAAACAAAACGAGGAGTGCTCAAACTTCAAAAAACCCGAAAGAAGGAAAAGCGACATTAGACAACCATTGTGGAGTTTGTTATCGTAGAGTTCGCACCTTGGACGTGATTATCCTTTCGATTATGTAGCGTTAGCTTGCAGCAGGACAATATTGGGCGTACGACAAGCGCCATAAAACGGTGTCGATATTGCCGTTCGATGAGGAGGTACACGTAGAACGTCATGGCATACCCCACCAGCATCATCAGGTTGATAAAGTTGTCAGCCATATTCGTCACGGAAGTGTCGAGATTATACAGACCGATGGAACTGTTTCCGGCGACTGCGCACATCTGGAAAGTGTTGGGTGCGCGGGTAATCAAATATAGGATGGCGCTGCTGAGCAGGATAATGTTAAAGGTTTTCTGTGAAGCGGCGCTGTTCATGTTGATGCCGGCCTTCGTTTTCCGTTCGTTGTTGCCTGCGGTTTGGGCCACGCGCATTTTGGCGACAAGGGAGCGACGGTGAACTGCCAGAAAGAGAATCAGCGTGCAGCTGGGAATAAGAATTAACAGGAAGGTCATCAGCCGCACTATAATCTGAAAACAAAATGCCATAATTTAAATATCAAGGAGCAAGCAAAACACAAAAATTAATTTTAAAGAAAAAAGCTTAGAAGAACAAACAGAATATTCAAAGTCAAATTATGTGCAGTGTGAATAATTATCAGTCACGGCGCTCTACCGAGGAAAATGCTGTGAAAACAAGTGATGGATGCTACTTCAACGGAGTCAGATAACTACATGATTGTTGTGTTGTGCAAAATTATTTCTGTAGTGGTTACTTTGGCTTTTTCGTGGAGTACATGCCACTGCCGGAACCATTTCATAGATTCACCGCTTGTCGCATCGGCGCCATACCGTGCGCCGATCAAGTGATAATGCGGACCTTCATAGTTGACCACAAAATTAAACATGTTCATAGCCAGCGACAAGACGAGGAGAATGAGGATGTTTATCCGCGCCACAGAGACTCTCTGTAGCCATTGGAAACGAAAGGGACTGATGATCACTAGGAGACGTTCCCAAGAAAATGCCACTAACACCCTGCAAAAGTTATGCGTGTTTTGAGAAGTGACAGGGTTTCGCCTCGATTGAGGTGGAGAAAAGCCCCAGCAAAGCTGTTTCGAATTTCGCCATACATAATGAAAACCAACCAATCGGACAGCCACATGCTGACGTCATCCAGCCAGGGCACAATCCCGAACTCAATCGATGGTGCATATTCAACCCGTCCTTGGCTGAGCATGTGCAGGAAGAAAGGCAGCGCCAACCACCTGCAGTGCGTCGAGTTGCATAATTTTACCAATCAGTTATCAAAGAACAACATACTATCGTACTAAACGTATACAACAAATTCAGTGAGACAAACACGTCCGATCACAAAGACAGAACTCTTATGCAAAAGCTTTTGACCACAAAAATTTCTCTCTCAAACAGAAATAGCAGACAACCGCTCTCAAGCGTGTGATTCATACTAATATTGGAAATGCAACAAAAAATGGGTACATAGTTTATGCAAAATTGGAGTTAGTTACTAAATTCTCCGCAACCGTTTAGGTACTCCCCGGGCGTTTGAGACAGTTCACTGTATGAAACGTACGTTTGGAATCATTTAACACTTACAGAGCGCCCAGATCGGTGATAGCGATGGTGATCATATAATGGCACGCGGAAGCTCTCCACGTGTGGATACTGCGCAGTAGCACTGCCAGGTTCAGCCCATTGCCCACCGTGCACAGGATCAACAGACCGACATACACCCAGGCACAAGCGTAATTTACCTTATCCATCTGCTTTTCACTGTACATGTTTTCGGTCGCATTGTGCACTCTGTCCCAGCTGACATTCATTTCACGGGACTGATGTATATTCTGCCGCGGAGCGTCGATGTCGAACTGCAGAATGGTATATATGCAGTAGATCTACCCAGACACTTTCAATATAGCATCCGCTAAATGTGCACTGGATATAAAATTTATATTTCCATTGAAGTACCGCGTTTTGCGGTGTAAAGAAACCAACCTGTTCTACAGCAGATTGGGTCCTGCGGCTACTGTTAGTCCGTCAATGCTGGGATAATTAATCGCCGTATCACAAGAACAAAACTGTCTTGGGCAATCAATCAAATCATGTTGGATACAAAATCATAAAATGCGAATTGCAACGAACGGGATGCTACCTTCATTCTGCATTGGCACAGTTAGAAATTAATGTGTGAAAAGTCAAATAATATCACAGATTTACCGCAGAAAAACTTTCAGCGCAGCAAAGAACTGTAACGTATAACGCAAACGGTACAAACGCACGCCCATATACTGCAAACCAAAGATGTGCTCGCGGCAGTAATTTTAGCCGACATTGGTGCTGCCAGTCTAGCCATATTACCACAGTTAATCATCGTGATTCATTGTGCATGTCGCACTATTAATACTTACGCAGCAATAATGTATCCAACATATGTTTTATTAAAAATGACCAAATTGCGAACAGCCTGCGCACCGAGCAAAAACCGAGAATATATAGTTTCTCAATGCTTGCTTAACCAGCTAAACTGCCTAAACAAGAAGTGTACTCCACTTGTACAGATAGAGTACGAAGTGTAGAGTTCACAGTAGGTTGTTCTGTGGTTAACTAACTAGTACTATTTATTCAAAGCAAGAACGCCGAAGGTAAGCCCGGAACTTTACCCACTTTGGGAAGCTATACCAAGCATGGCCGGAAACAGCCTCAAACCATCACCCGTTCAAAAACATTATTGCTTAGGCGATTGACACGAGTTCACATTGCGCATTCCCCAGTTTAAACCCGCTTTACCCAAGTATCTATCAAAAACTACGAGAACGGAAGAGGCTGGGGCATACAGTTATATTGGTATAGGTCAATTGCTTTTGGGTAACCGTTGCGCGTCGGGTAATAAAGAAACGCGTAAAAATCTATCCATGACTCAGCGAAAAAAATATCGTCCAATCGTAAGGCGAGTACGCTTCCGTGCCAAGAAAGAAACTGAACAACGGAAAAACTGAAGTGGAACGGAAAAATTTATTTTTGATGCTTTAATGTGGTACTATGTCAAAAAAGTTGATCCTGAATTTAGAAGTGTGAATCTGGGTCGCTGGATGCACTTTTGGTTCAGACAAACAAAAATTTTGTTGATCTGTGCAGGAGAGTTCCGAGTTACTCGTAGTTTGGGTAACGGTTGCGGTTCGACGTCGAAGCGCAACGGTTACGCGGACGGGTAAGCTGAAAACCCATCCCAGAATCCTGGTTTACCAATCAAATCGTTTACCTGCTTACGCGCCGTGACGTCACGTTTTTTTACCCGACTGCCGCTTGCGCGTCGCGTAATGCTTACACAGAGCAATTGACCTATACCATTAATATGCTTGTATGGCTGGGAGAGGCCGGCTTACGCGACGCGCAAGCCGAAGTCGCGTAAAAAACGTGACGTAAGCAGGTAAACGTTCAGATTAGTAAATCAGAATTGTGGGACGGGTTATCATGCAGTTTACCCGTCCGTGCAACCACTGCGCTTCGATATCGAGGCGCAACCATAACCCAAACCACATGCGTAAACAGCTCTACAAAAACGTTTTGTGTTTTTTAACAAAAACTCCCAGAAACAAACATCCAACCTAAAAATTGGTTTTTGGTCACGAGATCACATTTAATTGCCAATTTGCCACATTCGTGAATAACTGAAAATGGCTTTTTCATTTGCACTTCGACGTTCAGTTTTTTTCGGGCACACAAACGAGCTTGTCCTGGGATGTGTTTGAAATTTTTCGCTGACTTATTGCTAATTTTTACGCGCTTTGCCCGTTACCGGCCGCGCATCGGTTACAGAAAGGAGTCGACCTCTCCCAATGTAATTTCAAATCTACTATGTATCATTTTAGTGATTTAAATCTTTCTTTGTGCACGAAGAAGCTGTGATTCTCTGGAAAATATCGAATATCCCGTGTACGATGTGCAGTGCCGAACATGTTGAGAATGTTCATTTAGCGAACCGTAGTGAAAGTGTTACTTCCCTTGATCAAGCAAGTAGAACCAGATTGATAAAGTTATCGGCCACATTCGTCATGGAAGTGCCGGCTTTTTTTCAGTCCGACGGTACCATTCATAGCGACATTGCACATTTGGAAGGTTTTGTGCCGCGAGGTGGTGCTACCCAGCAGAATAATGTTTATACCGCGTTGCGGAGATTCACAGCTGTAATTCCACGTCTCCGATTTTGCTTGCTGCTGGGGCTAGTCGCATTTAGGCGGCTGTGGAGTGTGGAATGTGGAATGTGGAGTGGCGATGAATTGCAAGAAAACAAATCCACTTGCAGCCTGGAATGAGAATTACAGAAAGGTTACCGGATGGACAACAATCTTAAAATGTTAGGCTGGTCGACCGGTAACGATGATGTGGAAAAATGAGTATCAAACAAGAAAGAGAATAAAAGTCGATTTTTTAAAATAAAATTTAAATCCAACCTTTCAAAAAGCCAAAAAATTAAAGACTATTTGATATTATTAATTATTTTATTAGGATTGATTACTGAACATTGTAAATATTGCTTTTCTATATTTATTGCTGACTTTAAAACAGGGATTTGAAAGATCGTTTTGGTTGCTTTCGCTCTCTCGCGGTTCGGTTCAAACTAAAATACAGCACTAAATTAAAATCCTTCGGAATTAAAGATGGTCCGCGACCGACTATGGAGACATCGTTTTCGGAGCCAATCCAGTCCCGTAACTGGTTGCAGACATGGAAGGCGCAGACATTGCAGAGTGCTAGAAGTACTCGCAATTTAAATTGCTTAGAAATAAACCGTAAATTGACTGGTAAAGATTATTAGAACAATTAATGTCAAAAAAGTTACTAGGCAAGAAAAATCGTTTCGCAGGGAGATGCCTAACGCTCGCGAGAAAATTTACGCTCCTTCCTTATTGAGGACATCAACACTCAGTTTACCTGAGTGTTGATGTCCTCAATGCATCAATACTCAGTTTACCATAATAACCTTTAACATTTACGGCTAACTGTAGCGCTGCTGATAATTATACTAGTGCAGGCACAAGATTTTGTTACGAGTGATTAGTTCCAGATCCAGATGAGCTCTTTCCAGTTTCCGCAGTTATTCATATCGCCTTCGGTCATCCGTTCTGCTCTCCTTTGTTTGCCTGAAACCAGTGACAGCAATTACGTAGGTTGTACGTAAGCGACTACCAAGCGGAATACAGATATGTTCACGGAAATAATCTTAACATCACGGTCGCTTTGCGCTCTTTGTGAATTGATTATGAAAGGAACGGTGGGAGTGTACGGGTAAGTATACACTAGATTTTTGCTCAGTTGAATCGAGCAATTACTAGCCGCAATAGTACATACGTCGAGAAAAGCCGGCCACTTCGAGTCAAACAGTTATTTTCCTTTTCTGGCTCTAAACTTTTTATTTACAGTCGCTAGCATTCACCCATTACGACCCTTACTACGAAAGCACATCTTTGGGCAGTCGGACAAAAATCTGCAGGAAAATGACTGCCAATCATACCCCAGGTGTGAACAGTTCCGCTACCTTGTCCCTTTCTGTTTTCTCCAGTCCCTCTGATTTTCAAGTGGCAGGAGCAATTATAGCACTAATCCAGAACATTATCGCTTTAATTCTGTCGGTCGTGGTGTTGGGATACTACCTGTATCATCCGGCATTACGCACGCCATTCAACATGTACATCATACAGCTGCTGTTTCTTCAGTCAATCTCCCTTATTTTGTTTCTACCAAGCAAAGGTCTAGCGGCTGCTGGCCGTCATCCCGCCGGAACATTCGCATTATGTGCGCTGAAAATGACCCAAGACTGGGTCGTGCAAATCGTGGCAACGACCGGCCACGTGCTCATCGCCCTGAATCGCATCTGGGCCGTTACTTGGCCGATTTCCTATCGGCGACACCACAACCGTAACCTCGCTGTCACAATCGGTATTATCAGCGCCGTGGTTATTACTGTGGTACGAATGCCGGGTGTCATCGTGGCGCTTTCTTTCTACCGCGATCCAGCTTCTTGTGAGAATACACGGATCTTCCTATGGAGCCTTCTGCCGCTGTACATGGCATTTACCAATTATTCGGCAGTAACGCTGCCCTGGCTTATTATTGCTACATGTCCGTATGTTCTGTGGAAAAAGCGCCGCTCAGCACAAAAAACTGTCAGTCCGCTAAACGGTGCTGGGCATGCTGTGTCACGCTTAAGTGCTTACCCTAGGCGATCAAGAAACTTTTTGTTGTTTTTTCTGATGGCATTAATCGTCCTGGTAACCTGGACGCCTTCCATGTTTTACTCGTGGTTCTTTACGCGAACGGTTCTGGGGAGTGCGATAGTTTTTATTATCTTCTCTTTTTCTGCCATAAGCGATCCTATTGTGTTCTTCCTTATTGCCAGGATCCCTGCTTCCGGTGAAAGAAGGTTTCAGAATCCGGATGTTCCGCCAGAGAACCAGACACTTCGCTCTTATACAGTCGCTGTTGGACGCAACTAGCAATACATTGATTCTATTGGTATTTAATTTGATGATTTGTTGTTATTTTATGGTAATAAGGTATGTTTGTTTTTACAAGTACTTACACTCTGTACCTTGATACTGACTACGGTTAGAATCTGAAATGCCAGCTGCGAGATACAAGAAACTGCGCCCAGATCAAATCAAACAAACGTAGTTAGGACAGCAAATCATCATGTATGTACAATCTACTGCAAAAATGACTGGGATGCTTCCTGCTACCGTCGTAAAGCATTCTCGTAAAGCCGACTCTTTGCGATGCAAGCAAAATGCAAATCGAACTGCATTCTTGTGCCGTCGACGGTGTTATAACTTACAAGATACCGTAAATGGTTAAATTTTGTATGCCGTCCAAATTGCCCGGTTAAATTTTTATACATTATAAGAGTACAGATGAGAACATCTCACCCAAGAATCACATGCCAATTCAAAGGTCCGGATGTCCAAACGTTCTGCTCGCATCGATAAGGCTAAGATAACTGAGTGGAGAAAACTGACGGCAGAAAATTGTTCGCATCCGCACTTTTCGTCGAGTCACCATTTCCTGAGGAAAACTTTCCTCTAAGGTGGCGCTCACCAAAAAACTGCCGTCGACCGGAGCGAAGCGAAGCTCAACTAGTTCAACAAAACCAGAAAGTTATCTGTCTGTCCCGGAAGTGGAAGGTAACTTCTATCTTACGTCATCATTCCTTATCCCCTAGAGGTGGGGATGGCTTTTTGCTTAACTACTGCAATTTTTTTAACCAAAGTGCCATCCGGTAAAATTTCAGTTTTGTGTGCTTATGCAAACCTAAGCAACTCAATTTCTTTGGTTAAATATTTTATGGGACGTCGAAAAATAGCACATTTCAGGGCGGTCAAAGCTCTCACAGCTCCGAGATTGGCAGATTACCTCTCACGTCATTCAGCAACAAATGGCAAAGCTGATAATGCATTTCGCATCGGCGATGTCGAAGCGCTGCTACTTCATAACTTGTGCAACCACTGCTGAGCTGCTGAGTGGAGCTATTTTATCAATGAAATTTCGACCTTTCTTAGGCTCTGTTATCATTTTCGTCAAAATCTTTCTTTTTGTATAAAAAATTAACGTTTGTCCTCGATGAAATGTAACAACTACTAACAAAAGTTTCTGCACATCACAGTTTTTGTTGTATGTATCAAAGATCAGTGAAACAAAATTACGGGAAGAAATCTCAATAAACTGTTTGACGTTCCACAATGTACGGATGGGCTCAGCCAGCCTGTTTCCCACAAAACGAAAGATGAAGGCAACGACGCGAAAGCCGCTTTGTGCGTTGCAATTAAAAAAGTTTGGTCTAGCGATAACGTTTTTCTAACACCCTTGCCTCGACACTTTGTTCTCCGTTTTTAATATGAATGCAGACAGAAAGTGCTCCGCCGTAATATTACTAAACCTTAAGGTATTCCAGCGACTGGCGTGACGTCACGCTATGTGACACGCAATGTGCAACGCAGTGGGCAACCCCAGCGGGTTCTGTGTTTTTCAAAACTTTCAGATTAGTACAATCCGTTCGTACTATGGCTCAAAAAATGCAGAAAAAAATCTAAGTTTGTAAACCAAAACTGACAAGTCAAACGCTGTCAAGGAAACGAAAGCTTTGAGGTGGTTTGCCAGTCCAGAGACCTCCATGCTAAACGAAAATCCTTGGTTCTTGATCTGTGATCAAACGAAGCGACCACAACCTGATCAGTCAACCAAAACGAAACAATTAAAATTTAATCAATCAATGAAAACGGTCAAACAATTCAGATAAAAAAAACAAGAGATCTTTGTTTAGCGTAGAGGGCTAAGGCAGACTGCCTCATAGACCTCTATGGTAAACCAGAATTACGTTAATCGTAAACTTTTCGTTTGTATAGCAACTTTTTGCTTACCAACTTTCACTTTCCAAACTTCAAATTTTTTTCCGCATTTTTTGAGCCCTAGTACGAAGGGATTGTACTAATTTGAAAGTTTCGAAAAACACAGAACCCGCAGGGGTTGCCCACTGCGTCTCACTGTGCGTGTTCTCTACCATGACGTCATCGTACAAGGTGCATGCTCTATTATGGCTCCGCTTTTCATTTGGTAAAACGAATTTAAAAAGTTAAATATCTGCAAAAACTTTGCAGCGAAACGACGTCACACTGCCATGCCCAGGAGGCAACCATTGGCGTACCTACTAAAATCGCAAATTGCGATACTCACTTTTAAGTTTTTCGGTTTATTTCTGCTTTTAATGGGGTTGAACCAGTTAAAACTGCTTCTCAACAGCATATTGCGTACAGTGGTTTCAAGCGCTTGATAATGCAACGTCCAGAAACCTGAATCCAGAAACCTGTATCCATCCAAGTGCAATGGTTCTACGAGTGACGATATGTTCTTTGTACTAGTTAATCACAATGCAACGCTGGGGACACTGTGATAAACCAAACAATTAGAGCTTATCAGAAGCGGTATTAGCGACTGCTCATGTGCGCACACGGGAATTATCTCATTTTCTTTGTAATTCCCAGCAATTGTTGATCCGGCTCCCGGTAATCCGCTTGAAATAGCCGTCGTTTACCCGTAGATTCTTTGTCTCAGACCTCAGTTGCTGTTTACGTAAAGTGACCGCAAAATCCCGTATGTTCAAGATAATTTTTGCGCCACAGTAGTGCTCGATATATAGAAAGTATTGATTAGTGACCCAAGGGACGGAATATTACTGATCCGGCATTCTTCAAGCAGTCACGCTATAGATACGCAACCGGATGGTGCAATAAAATTATGCCCGACTGCCCAAGTATATTGCATCAAGAAAGCACGGCCGCTAAACCGTGCAGCTCAATGCCGTTCGAATGCTTCATGCAGCTGTAAACAAGTTTTATAATCCAGTTCTAGGAAAGATGCCTGTTAACCATACTTTGGATAATAACGGTTCGGCATTGCTGCCGCCGTCAGTTTTCTGGAGTCCATCTAATTTCGATACAATAATTGCAGTTATTCTACTATTTCAGAACATGATTGCCTTTATCCTCTCCTTTTTGGTGTTGGGATACTATTTGTATCATCCGGCACTACGCACACCGTTCAACATTTACATCATACAGCTGCTGTTCCTGCAGTCTATTTCCATGATTATGATGCTCCCAAGCAGAGGTCTTGCGGCCGCTGGCCGTGATCCCGCTGGCACGCTCTCCTTGTGCGCCCTGAAAACGGCACAAGAGTGGGTTGTACAAGTTGTGGCAACGGCTGGCCACGTGCTCATCGCCTTGAATCGCATTTGGGCCGTCACTTGGCCCATCGCGTACCGGCGCCATCACAACCGTCGAGCCGCTGTCATGATTTGTCTGGTCTGCGCCGCTGTCTACGCTATAATGCGGATACCGGGGGTGGTCATCGCGCTGTCCGGTTACCGCGATGCCGGCTCTTGTGAAGATAGTCGGGCCCTGGTATTGCGTCAATTACCGCTGTATGTCAAGTTGGCCAACTATTCCGCGATGCCGCTACCCTGGCTGATTGTGGCGTCGTGCCCGTATGTTCTGTGGAGAAAGCGCCGTTCGGAAAAGAATGTTTCAGTTATTCCTGCTATCGTAATTGACCATTCTACCTCACAAACCAGGCGCACTATAATGATGCGCAGAGAAAGACGATCACGCAAGTTTTTGCTGTTTTCCCTGATGGCCTTGATCGTTCTTGTAACCTGGATGCCCTCTGTGTTCTATTCGTGGTTCTTTACGCGAACAGCACTGGGAAACATGATATTTTCCATTATTTTTTATTTTTCCGCCATAAGTGATCCGATTGTGTTCTTCATCATAGCCATGCCTGTCGCGCCGGGCACAAGGAGTTCCCAGAATGCGGATATTTCGCTTGAGAACCTTACAGCCCGCTCTAACACTGTAGATGTTGAACGAAACAGCACCCTTAATAGGAGCTAAGAATCCCATCATGACACGCGCAAAGGCGCCGTTCGAAAAAGCTTGTGTCGTGTTACGTGTATGTTTGTCATGCGCTTTCATACAAGTAGCATAACAATTTTGATTATGTGACCCGTGCTCAGGGCTTCAATTGAAGTATCTTAGCGAATCGGAACTCGTTATTATACTGCTGATTTTGTCAAGCGAGTGTTGTTATGTTACGTTGGTATTGCTATTGCCGCAGTGTGGGTTAGTCAAAAGGGGGCGAACCTTGCAGAGGCAGTACGTGGTACAACGGTTCTGTGCTTATTTGGCTGTCTTCTTCTGTTGCACGAGCTGTTTAAGCCGTTTTCCCTGGCTTACAATTGTTAATTTTACCTCTCAACTATTTCCAGTTAATAATAAAAGTGCAGTGATCACAATTCACAAACAGCGATAGAAAGCATAATTTTGAATATATGTAGTTGATGTCTAGGTACCGTTCAATAACCCTGAATATCTGGGTTCTACGTACAAAACATTAGATTCGAGAAAAGAACTCTTACCAATTGTAAGAAAACCTCACAAAAAGCAGAAGCAGAACCTATGAATTAATAGGAAGCGCGTAGGCTGTGAAGAATTTACTAACCACTGCGCTTATCACTACGGTGATAAGCGCTGTACGTGATGGTGATAGTTACCGCTTACGTTAACTTGTAGAAAGGTCATGGATTCTGGGAACTGGGAAGCACATGAAATGAAAAAGATAACACTAAAAAAAAATAAAAAGTTCACAATTCACCTTCACAGTATTTAGAAAATATTACTAAATTGGGGCATTATTGTCTTAAACAGGTTTAGTGTGGCGTTCATAGAATATTCAACGCGTTGCGCTTAATAGGGCACTGGTATTGTGGAAGTCGGATTAACAACAACCTTCTCGTGTAGCCCCTTAATAGATGACTGTAGGCACGTCTCATTATACGCTTCGAAGATGTCATTCGCCGCTCCGAAGAAACACGGATTCGTCACAATTTGCTGGCGAGCATTCAACCCTTTGGCATCGCCGCACGACCCGTACTTGTTAAGAAAAGTGTCAATCACCGGATCATACATGGCATCCAATCGTCGGCCGTGTGTTGTTCCCAGCAGCCACCAGGAACTGCAAATGCCCGTCACCGGACTGGGAACCAAACAGCCATAAAGCAACGTGAAATTGGCGTCGTGATACACGGTACTCAAGCTGAGAATTCCTACAATACAATAACGTTAACAGGTCTCACAGTATGGGTTTAATCATACAGCAAACATGCATCATACGTCTCTGATCAATCGAACCGGGTCCTTTTTCGAAGAACAAACCGTTCATTCGCCCATTGCTGTGCACTTCACCGACGTAATAACCATACCAACATTTAGCTTCATGGATGCCACCGGTTAAAATTCGATAGATGTACTCCATCCACATTACTTGTGAGGTGGTGTTAGGAGAAGCCGACCAACTGGTCCCGATGGTATGCCATTTAAAATCCAAAGTAAAACCACGTTCTGCTAAACCATGAGCAGCATATCCTTCCCATGAACCGGCAAGCTGTAAGCCAAAATACCGGAATATAAATTCGGAAATCGGACTTTTCACGAGAAATCTTAAGAATTATCAGGCACGCGTTGTACTGTACATTCGCTAGTTAAAACGTCCGGAAGGCAATAAATATTAAATATGAATTTTCTTTGGTTTCTTTATTAACGTATTACTGTATTAAATTTGATCAATCAGCGGCTCTTCGCGATTTAGAAACCCATCCCCGAAACGCCTTGGGGCGAACCCTCATAAAATTATAGCAAGCTGCAACCCTTCCTGAAATGCACAGCCGAAGATAGTAAACAGTAGTACAAATTAAAATAACGTATTACGCACTTTATAACCGTTTATACATTTTACTACCTTAAAGAAAGCATTAATACAATCGTTTTTCTTTTAGCACTAGAAAAATCCAGTAAACCTCGAGCGAAAGTTTCGTCGGCCATGTTTACGCCAGAAATAATAATAACAACCGTCCCTGAATTAGAAGCCATCCCCGATATAGAGGCCCTGTTCAACTAACAGTGGCCTTGTGTCACTAACTGGTAAGTATATTATTTTAATGAAATGTTCTGCTGTCCAACGGGTATGTCGCCCGCCCAGTGATTTGCTCGGCTGTACGTACATTACCTCCGCTGGATCTAGCAGGATTTCACTGTCGATGAAGTTCGGTAGCCGACAGTCGGGAGAGGGATTCAACGCAGTGTAATTGCCCAACGAACGAAGGCCCTGCCTGTCTTTGGCAGAGCAATCCGGCAAAAATGTCAACGGGCACGAAGGGCGTTGGTCGAATCGTTGTTTCGGGATATCGTTAGCTGTGATACAGTACGCAGCGAACACCGTATTCAGAATATTGTCCAGGTCATCCATATCGGTTGCCGACATATCGAAAGGGTTTCCTCGGACTTGGACCATAACGAGCGGGGTTGTACAAGTTCCGTCTAACCTGGGACCGTTGCAACCGTACGCTACCAGGAGCTTCTTGTAGTCGTGATATAAAACATTAAGATCAACTTCCCCTGTACACAAATGCGACGATCAGGTAAAGAAAATTTAAACATGGTTAATTGTTCAGGAACGTTTATGCATGGTTAATTGTTTTTGATTCCTTGTCTTACTCATAAGAAAATTATCCTCCGTTGCCGCCATCGTTCCAACCATGCGCCCGTCAACCGTATACAGTCCTGTCCAGAAATGATTTTGACATGTCCGATTTCCTACAACCGCGCTCAACCTGAACTGAGCCGTCACGGCCCACGCTGATTGATTAGTTGAAGTATCAACCGTCTGCGTAATGACATCCCATTCTATGTGCTGATTGAATGGAGTGACTGAGCTGAACTGGGCTTTCTCCCGATACATATACCAGGTACCCGTGATCTGCAATCAACTATCAAAATTAATTAGGTAATGGCTGTGCACCCCGACAACCAGGGCAAGACTTACTAGTATATCTTCTACCCTAGGCCACAGTAATGGACATAAAGCAGATAAACAATTCCGGTCATACACTCTGTACCGGTACATCATGATGCACAAATATGCATACAATATAGGGTGTGGCTATTCCCACCGCCTCGCAGCCACCATTTGGCTATTGTCACCACCTTTCACCGCTTTTGAGCTATTCCCACTACCTTTTTTAAATGAAACCAACACTAACTTTTACTATTCCCACCTCTTCATAGGAAATGTTATTTTACTGCATAGTTTTTAAAACTTTTCGTAAATCTCAAAAACACGTTTGATAAAATTGTTTTTTTTTGCGCTCCGTATGTCGGAAGGCTTGTTACCACAATTTTTGACAATGGCACTAGTTTTTTTTTGCTGGCAGCACTGCTATACGAACAGAATAATCACCGACCAGTCGACCACCGTAATAGTGCACAGTTTTATTCGAACTTTGTTTTGTCGCAACTGAACAGGAAAGTGAATTATGACTAAATGTGAAGAATTTAGAAGAAGTATGTATATTGAAAACAGATTGGAATAGCCGAGCGCAGTAAAGCCATCAAGGGGCTGGAACAGCCAAAGGTGGTGCAAAAATTATTTAGAAAAAGGGGGTGCGAATAGTCAAAACGGAGTGAAAGGGGGTGACAATAGCCAAAGGTGGTGTCAGGGTGGTGAGAATAGCCATTTCCTACTACAATATAATTAACCACAAATCTTTACGCCAAAAAATCGGGGGCGCACAGCCGAATTATGCGCTTAGCGTTTAGCGCAGGGTAGATTTTCTTGCAAAAATTACTACCGTAGCTACGAGTAGGTAGCTACGAGTAGGAGTAGAAGTACTCGTATTAATATGAAGGCTAGTTTATAATTAATTTTAATCGATTACCTGTTGAGGATCGTTGATCTCGGTGGATGGCGGAATCGCGACCGGCCACTGTGTTTGGCAGAACTCTCGTTCAGCCAAGCTACGATTCAATTGGACTAGGATATTAAAAGATCACGCTAATTAGCCCTAGCAACGCAGGTGCAAGTGAACAGCGCAAATTTTTCTTAGGATACTCACGGGAACCAATAAGCCAGACAAAAACCGTGCACGACTTCAACATGGTTTCATCAACGCGATATGGAGAATTTTCGATTGGACTATGCTTTTGTTTAAGAGATATGTTTAGCGGCCATAAAAAAACAACACAGCAAAGAAATTTAATCAGCGCCTTTAAAGCTTATAATCGTCACTGTAAACTACGTAACCCATACTGAGTTTCATACTATAACCGGCGGCAGTACATGGTCGAGCGTTCGCCGACCTTGCCATGCTGCAACGCGAAACGGATGTGGCAGTATCGTAAGCTGTCCATCAAGACATTACAGGTGTATGAGCTGCACCGTTGCACTGGACATGTGCGCTTTAATAATAGTTGTAGCAAAGAAAGTTTTAGCGGTGATGTTATAAGAGAATTGGCCTAGCGTTCAACACAGTACGTGCAATTGTTTTTCTGATCCGTGTTAAGGCTTATTTCCCCGGTATCAATCAAAGTCTACTTCATGATGTTTATTCGGTAATATTAACTTCATATAACAAAAAGTATGCCCTTTTATTACCATTAAAATGCTGTGAACTTTGAAAAGCCAGCTAAACAAAAGCCAAAATCTTAGGTGTTTCAAAAATTTAGCACCTTTAGTCGCGTATCCAGTTATCTTCGAACGGCCGAATCTACGGTATTTTAACGAATTATGCGTTGTCTCGGGAAGGCTGCAGTTTAAGGCTTCCCGCTTGTGTCGCCAATTTTACTTCCCTTAAAACGCATCGTTTTGGCGGTGGTCATTCCCAGTGTGCCAAAGCGTCTCGACTGTGAGTCGGTAAAAAGTAATTTGGAAACGCCCATTCTCTTCTAGAAAAGCAATTTTGCGTCGTTTGCCGTCTTCCGCTAACGGTGCTACTCTGCCCGAATTCTTTAAGCTTGCTTTCACGTGGGAGACCGCCACGAAGTTATTCTACAGAAGTGGCTCAATCTGTACCAAACTTATACGCCACTGTCACTGTCTCGTCGCGGACCAATCTAACACCCGGCATAGCCGCGATGCACCGCGACGCTGCGTATGTCGTAGGTGAGCATACCTGCCGCGACGCCGCAATGGCCGTGATGCCTGTATATAACCGCGACATACCGCGACACTGCAGATACGGCATGGCAGAATGCATACCGCGACGCCGCGATAGCCGCGACGCCTGTATATAACCGCGACGCACCGCGACACTGCATATGCCGTATGTGGGCATACCTGCCGCGACGCCGCGATGGCCGCGACGCCTGTATATAACCGCGACATACCGCGACACTGCAGATACGGCATGGCAGAATACCGCGACGCCGCGATAGCCGCGACGCCTGTATATAACCGCGACGCACCGCGACACTGCAGATACGGCATGGCAGCATGCCTACCGCGACGCCGCGATGGCCGCGACGCCTGTATATAACCGCGACGCACCGCGACACTGCATATGCCGTAGGTGGGCATACCTGCCGCGACGCCGCGATGGCCGCGACGCATGTATATAACCGCGACGCACCGCGACACTGCATATGCCGTAGGTGGGCATACCTGCCGCGACGCCGCGAAGGCCGCGACGCCTGTATATAACCGCGACACTGCAGATACGGCATGGCAGCATGCCTACCGCAACGCCGCGATGGCCGCGATGCCTGTATATAACCGCGACACTGCAGATACGGCATGCCAGAATGCCTACCGCGACGCCGCGATGGCCGCGACGCCTGTATATAACCGCGACGCACTGCGACACTGCATATGCCGTAGGTGGGCATACCTGCCGCGTGTATATAACCGCGACATACCGCGACACTGCAGATACGGCATGGCAGCATGCCTACCGCAACGCCGCGATGGCCGCGATGCCTGTATATAACCGCGACATACCGCGACACTGCAGATACGGCATGCCAGAATGCATACCGCGACGCCGCGATGTGCGCGACGCCTGTATATAACCGCGACGCACCGCGACACTGCATATGCTAGGTGGGCATACCTGCCGCGACGCCGCGAAGGCCGCGACGCCTGTATATAACCGCGACATACCGCGATACTGCAGATACGACATGGCAGCATGCCTACCGGGACGCCGCGATGGCCGCGACGCCTGTATATAGCCGCGATGCATCTGCACGGCTGCGTTGCCAGGATGCGTTTGACTTAAAGTTGGGAAGTGCACTTGATTCTGATCTGAGGAGGTCCAAATTCAGAGAACCGCATGTGTTGAGGACAGCAATGATTTATAAATTTCGCTTTTTCTCAGATATAAGTAAAAGATGTTCGTAGAAATTTCAGACAACTGGACTGCACCATATTCTCTTATCATTGTTACAAAAGTATAAGGCATCTTTACCAAAATTCCAAAATGCAAAAATGTTAAAGAATATGCGTCATTCGCTGTATAAGATATAGCATTTCGAAAAACCAACAAAAATCAGCATAAAAACTCGATAAGCAAACGCTGCAAAGCCGTTTTCGGATTCGTTTCGATCTGATAAGCTCAACAGAAGCGAATGTAAACGCTGTACTGAAAAAGAAACATTTCAATCTTTCTGCTTCTGACGGCTTCTGCATCTCAGGTGTCTCCCTTGCAGGCAGAGCACTTGTAAGAAATTTCCGCTTTTCTTGACAGTTGTCGTTTTATTCCTTGGCACTTCAGATGATACCATAGCTTGCAAACCATGCATCCTACTCCTGGAGCGTCCAAATCAATATCGCACGCGCACAAGGAACACTAAAAAAAACTGTTTTAAGACCTCTCAAATGCACCTTCCTTACTTGAGATTACGACAAATTTCATGCTGTTGATAAATGCTGCTGCAGCATTCTGCTCCGGTTTAAATTAGTTACTGATTTTGAAATGCGATTAAGATACCCCTAACACATCATTCAACAAGCAATACCTACGGGATCATACGGTTAGACAGCAAGTTTTCTCGCGTCCATGAATCCGTATTGCGCCGCAAGGTTTTTGTAAGGATGACCGCAGAAAACGGGACGTTGTAAATCAGCTCTCGCGACTGAGCTATTGCAAAAGCGTCGGTGGGGAAGACTTTGCAGATACGCGACTCGGTGTAAAGTTAACTCGGTGTAAAGTTAGCACTTTCATTTATTTATAGGTGGTTTCTTAACGATTAATGCCTATTGTTGATCATCAAAAGTTACTAAACAATCGCTGGTAGCGTATCATAGTCTTTCCGCCATTCTGCATCCGTCACAGATCTGGTTCTTCGCTTCACATTCTTCCCTAATACTAATCATAATGCCCGCCACTCTCGCGAGCAGAACTCAGTAGATAATTCTATTTTTCTCAAAAAATTTTTTTCGTGCTTCTAGCTCACACTTTTCAGGAAAGCGATCACGAAACGATTATAAAACGAAACGATTACTTTTCAGTGAAAATTTGAGATGTTGTAACGCAAAAACAAAACGAATTTTCCCTGAACAAAAAAACAAAAAGGGGACTAAATAAACAAAAAGTCTCAAACCCATTCAAATGCCATTTGCTGCCCGAGATGTCGACACATTTCATGCTTGGCTGTTCATGCTGGGCTACTTGAGCATCTCACGTAGTTAAGGCCATGGGCGTCTGTTTGAGGGGTTTTTATAACTTTCAAATGACCGGAAGGGTGGGTTCTAATAACGGGGGAGCATGTAATGCGGGGGTCCCTTTATTTCGATAATTACGGTAAACTGCACCGTCTGCACGGATAAATTACGAGCAGCATTCAGTGAATACTTTGATTTTTCTCATTTTTTTAAGTATATTTAGCTCACCGTGTCATAACGGAATGAAGCTTACAAAAATTATTCCTTTTCATAATAAACTTGGCTTATCAACTCGTGACGCATAAACAACACTAAATCTTCCTAAGCAAACAGAAGAATCAACGGGAACTGGTCCGGTAGACTGCACAAGAACCGGTCGTCCCTGTACACGGATTTCAGAAGTTTCGATTTTCTGTGATTTCTACAGTATTATTTTGGTTTTAATAAGTAAAGACTTTAGAGTGGGGAAAAGCAAATAGAAAGCAAGTCCGGTGATCGACTTTTATGACGGTGGCAAAATTAACACGCACACTGAACCTGTATGCGAGGCGCTTGGAGGTAATAAGTGTCCACAGTCACATTGAATTTTCAAGGAAGCATTGTTTACTCAAGGGTTAACAATGCACGCTGTCTGCGGTCAGAAGGAACCCAACTGTAAGAGTACTATTTTACCGGTGGACAGCAAACGCAAGCTATTAATTTTGCCACCGGCTCAAGTCCACTGGCGAAAGTCTGCTAATGAGATTTTTGTACATTAAGTTGGATAAATGGACAGACAGAACGCGTCTAAAAGTCGACTGGGTCTGCCGCTACTAACGGGCGAGCAAAATATGGAATGATATACGTAAAATGAGCCAAAAACGAGGAATCAAATTACTGCGACGTTGATATTAAAACCGTTGTTACCGTTTGTTGATACTGAAACCGTTTGTCTGTTTCAAATATTTGGTTATGAAAGACTTGTCATTTCCGTTCCCTAAACATTTTTCGAACATACAGAACACGTACCAACATTTCCTGTCCCTTTGACGTCACTTCAATTTTCGGCTTCTTTCCGCGCGTTATAGCTAACACACCTGAAAATTTCGAAGGAACACACATAAAAAGGGAACATGTTTGTCATCAGTTATCATTGTTGCTGGTTTAACAGCAATGAAACCTTTTAAAATATATGCTGCCGGTTGGTAACTATCATGAAAATAAAATCAACTTAGCAGTTTTAAAGGTTACCTTTTGATTCTCCTGTACGCTTTCGCTTTGCTCGTTTTTTTGTGGCAGCGTCCAGCCCACCAACATTTGCCAGATCTATCAAAAAAGCCGTAGAAACTATTACAACATTACCGTGCTGAAAATTCTGTAGCCATATTACTAATATGGACTATACAGTGACAAATTAACAAAAGTTAAGGTTTTCAAAAATATTTATTTGTGACTTCATGCCTTGAGAAACCGCAGCACGGGGCGGCGAGGGCAGTTGATCCGAAATTGGAACGGCATAAGAAACCTGAGAAGTGGGCAACTGCGAACTAGTACTAGCGGTATCGGCTGACGATTTTCCTGCCGCGCTGCTCTCGCGCTCTAAAAA